GGCCTGAACTCTGGGCCTGGGTGCTGTCCTTTAGCTCTTCAGCTCAAGGCTAGCATGCTACCACTTGAGCCACAACGCCACTTCCAGCTTTTTTCTTTTTGCTTATGTGGTGCTGGGGAATTGAACCCAGGGCCTCATGCATGCAAGGCAAGCGCTCTACCACTGAGCCACCTTCCCAGCTCTAGACAAAGACTTTAACAGAACTAAATTAAGTTGGGTGGGCATCATAGCTCATATCTGTAACGTTAGCTATATGTTAATCAGAGATAGGGAAGATCAAGGCCAGCCCTGGCAAAAAGTTCATGAGATTCTTATCTCAACAGAAAAAGCTAGGTGTGATGTTGTGCACCTGTCATCCTAGATATGTAGAAAGTGTAAATAGAGGGAATGAGGTCCAGGCAGGCCTAGGAAAAAATGAGATACTATTAGAAAAACAAAGGCAAAAAGGGTTGGCTTAAGTGGTACAGTGCTTGGCTAGCAAACACAAGGCTCTAAGTTCACACCTCAATACTACCAAAAAACCCAGCTGGTTGCCAGTGGTTCATGCCGGTAATTCTGGCTACCACAAAAGTTTAGATTTGATGATCAAGGTTCAATGACAACTGGCGCAGAAAAGTCCCTGAGACTCTTACCTCCAACTAATCAGCAACCAGTGACTAAAAGCCAAGCAAGAATTTGAGACCCAGAGTTTAAACCCCCCAGTACAATCCTGTCCATGTACAACCATCTCCCCGCTGCAACATGACTTCTATATTTGAAGGTTTATTGTATGACCTGTGTATAGACATGAATAATGGGGAAGAGGAGAATGAAACCTGTCTGTACTTAATCTATAGAAATGTATAAGAACATTATTTTGAGCTGGGTGCCAGTGGTTCATATCTGTAATCCTAGCTACTCAGGAGGCTGAGATCTGAGGATCATGGTTCAAAGCCAGCCTAGATGGAAAGTCCATAAGACTCTTATCTCTAACCACCAAAAAGCTGGAAGTGGAGCTGTAGCTAAAGTTGTAGAGTGCTAGCTGTGAGCACACACAAAAAAAAGAACATGATTTTGAAATAGTTAAGATTATCTGGTTTAAATAAATCCATAAGGCAAGTACAGTCAGGTAAAAAGCTATTTATTTTAGCTAACTACTGTCTTATTTATACTATAAAATACACTTAAAAGCTATACTAACTTTTTCAGTACATTATAAATTTCAAATGTTACATATTCAAAATTACTCTAGGACTATTGAGCATATCAACACCACCTTTTTATAATAAATATAAAGAATCAAGCTTTCAGCAAGCAAATTAAGACTACTGAGAATGCCATAATAAATACCTTGTTTGTGGGCCAGAACTTTGTGTTTGTGCAACAAGAATTGGAGTGACCTCTCGACTATTTCCACTCTGTGAGAAGACAGACTTTGTTCCAGTTTGGCCCATTCTGGCAACAGACTGTAAAACACAGAAAGTCAAAAGTTTGAGACCAGAAGTGATAAAAGACATCATGATGGTTCAAACACACATTTTCCCAACTAGAGTTTATAATACATACTTGTCATCTCAAAACATAAACTATTAACAATTATTTGTGCTATTATTGTTAATCGTTATTATATCAATATGAACATCAGCTTACTTATACATTTCAATTTTAGGGTATTTTTACTTCCCTGCTGTCTTTCATCCTTCATTCTAGTTTCAAAAGAAAGGCTGGGGGTGGGGGCGGGCAGAGATGGGAAGGGGAAACAAAGGAGGAGGCAACAATGCTTGACAAGAAATGTACTCATTATCTTGCCCATGTAATTGTAACTCCTCTGTACAGTATTTTCATAATAAAAAAAGAAAGAAAGAAAAAAAGAAAGAAAGAAAGGTTAGAAGTTCCCAGAAGCGGGGCTGAGAAGGTGGCTCAGTGGTGGGGTGCTTGCCTTGCATACATGAGGCCCTGGGTTTGATTCCTCAGCACCACATAAGCAGAGAAAGCCAGAAGTGGTGATGTGGCTCAAGCGGTAGAGTGCTGTCCTTGAGCTGAAGAGCTGAGGGACAGCGCCTAAGCGCAGAGTTCAAGCCCCACGACTGACTAAAAAAAAAAAAGTTCCCAGAGGCTATTATTTTTTACTGTGACCAGCCTCCATTTATTACTGTACCTTCTATCTTTGGGGCTAAGTTCTACAATTTTTTTTTTTTTGGGTCCGGTTGTGAGGCCTGAACTCTGGGCCTGGGCGCTGTCCCTCAGCTCTTCAGCTCAAGGCTAGTGTGCTACCACTTGAGCCATAGCACCACTTCCGGCTTTTTTATTTTCTGCTTATGTGGTGCTGAGAAATCAAACCCAGGGTCTCACGCGTGCAAGGCAAGCGCTCTACCACTGAGCCACTTTGCCAGCCCAAGTTCTAAAATTTTTAAGACTGCTACTATATGTCAAGATTATGATTTGGCCAGGCACCAGTGGCTCACGTCTATAATCCTAGCTATTCAGGAGGCTGAGATCTGAGGATTCAGGTTCAAAGCCAGCCCTGGCAGGAAAGTCCGTGAGACTCTTATCTCCAATAAACCACTCAGAAAACTGGAAGTGATGTAGTGGCTCAGGTGATTGAGCTGAAAAGCTGAGGGACAGCTTTCAGGCCCAGAGTTCAAGCCCCATGACCGACCAAAAAAAAAAAGATTATGATTTAATTTAAATTTATGATTTATAATTTTATACTCCTCTGATAATAAAACAGTTTTACAATTTTAAAAAATCTGATCATTTTCCAAATTATAAGGATATTGGCCTTTAATTCTAATCTTGGATTGCTTTCTCTTTCCTTGAGAAAAAAAAATCTGCAGAGCACTGGTAACTCATGCCTGTAATCCTAGCTACTCAGGAGGCTGAGATCTGAGAATCAAAGCCAGCTAGGGCAGGAAAGCCCTTGAGTCTATCATCTCTGATTAACCAGAAAAAAAGCTAGAGGGTGCTGAGTACTGGTGGCTCATGCCTGTAATCCTAACTACTCAGGAGGCTAAGATCTGAGGACCACAATTCAAAGCCAGCTCAGCTCTGGCAGTAAAGTGCAGGAAAGTCCGTGAGACTCTTATCTTGAATTAAGCACTAGAAATCCAGAAGTGGCACTGTGGGCTTGCCTTGAATTGAAGAGCTCAGGGACAGCACCCAGGCTCAGCGTTCAAGCCCTAAGACTGCCCCCGCCCAAAAAAAGCCAAAGGTGGAGCTGTGGCTCAAGTGATAGTGCTTGAGTGAAAAACTAACAGCACCAAAGCACTGAGTTTGAGCCCAAGTATCTACACAAATTTAACAATTTTTTCATTATAATCATTAGTAGTAACTATAAAAACATATGCTGAGTGCTGGGCCTAGCGGCTTATGCCTATAATATGAGCTACTTAGGAGCCTGAGATAGGAGGGTCTAAGTTTGAAGCTGACTTGCACAGAAAAATCTGTGAGACTCTTATTTCTAATTAACCAGCAAATAGCTAGAATTAAGAGGTGTGGCTCAAGAGGTAGAATGCCAGCTAAGAAGGGAAAAGCCAAGCAAGAGCGAGAAACATTGAATTCAAGCCCTAGCACAAAAACAAAAACCCCTGAAAGCATACACTGGAGATCTCAGTGGCAGAGCAAATGCTTAGTATGCCCAAAGCTCTAGGTTTGAAACTTAGCACCGAAAAAGCAAAAAAAAAAAAAAAAGCAAAAAACAAAACAAGCAATACCTCCCAAGTCCCCAAACAACAATATAAATATAGTAGTGGAAACAAAAAATAATGGCAGACATAATTATGTGTAAGTGGAGATGTATGTAGTTCAAGTGGTAGAGCTCCAACCTTGAGCAAAAAAGCCAGGCAAAAGCGCAAGACTCTGAATTCAAGCTCAGAACTGGCACACGCACACTACATGCACACACATACACAAATCTTAACAAAGAGGGAAATTAGGCTGGAGGCATGGCTGAAGTGGTAGAGTGTTAGTTGAACAAGAAATCCTTAGTGAGAGTGAGGCTCTAAGTTCAAGCTCCAATACCAGGGGAAAAAAGGAATTCAGAAGTGGGTTTAGTGGTTCATGCCTGTAATCTCAGCACTAGGGAGGCTGAAGTAGAGGATTTTGAATTCAAGGGCAACCTGGACTTGCCTCAACAAACAAAAATGGAAAATTAAAAATAAAAATATTCAAGCAAGAGTTACATGGAAAGATCTCTCTGAAAGTACCTTTAGGTTGGACTTTTATGTTTATTTAACAGTATCAAAACTGTGTCTTGTATTAAAAATACCTTTTTTGTAGGTGCTCCGGTAGATGGCACATCAATTACAGAAGGTGTATTAGTGTAGTTTTGTAAATAGGATCCATCTCCAGGACTTGGGGTTTCTAATGGCAAAATCCCAAAACTGAGAAGAGGTTGAAATCAAGGTGTCAAAAAGTCATCAAGGCATATATAAAGCAGCAGTATACTTAAATTAGAAGGTCTAAAAGGAAGAGAATGGCAAATCAGTCTTGGGGGCATTGATGTTCTAAGGGGCAGATTAAAAATAAGTTGTGAATGTTGACTATTCCACCCACCATAATCAAAATTTTTAAAAATCAAGGAACAACAAACAAGGAAGCTGAGCAACAATTATGGATCTTAGAAGATATATTAGAGTGACTTTGAAAGCTAAGATCCAAATGATCAAATTACTTCAAATTCTTGGACTCTATAGGACTTACAAATATGGAGACCATGTCAATACAGATCACTGATTACTGAATAATTTAACTGATATAATCAATCATCCAATGGTCTCTGAAGATGCCATTTCATGGTCATGGTTATCTTAGTAACTGTAGCCCCAAGACATCATTCACACAAATCTATTCTAGCATGTAACTTCTTGATACTTTTGGATGTATATCCTCTGGAATGGTTCCTGTATTTATACACAAATATACTAATAATTTTGGCAAAATATTTTCCATTGATAGGTCAAAACCAATCATGTGTCAGAAAATAAATCACCTTAACAAAACCCAATGTTTCTATGATTATATCATAAAGCATGTCAATATTCAAGGTATTCACTGCTACTTGATGCACAGCTCTACAGATAGTATGTTTTAATGAACACATTGCCATACACTAAGGCATATTTAAGAGTTAAAAATTTCTCCAATATTTAATATTAAATGTTCTGCTGAGTGTAGCTCCATTGGTAGAGTCCTTGCCTGACAAACATAAGGCCCTGAGTTCAAAATCCCAGTACTATCTATCCCTACCCCAGAAATTAATTTTTTTTTAGAAATTTTTATCACATGTGCTGTACTTCCTTTTACTTTCTGAAAAGAATGTCTCCTTTGTACAGTGATTTGAGACATTGCTATTCATATTATATTACTAATAATATGAACTGTAAGGTCATTTAATATTGTAACACATTTAAAGTAACTTTTGTTTGACTTACCTTGGGGTTAGTGGGCTAAGAGCAGTTGGTCCTCCTAATAAACTTCGACCAGTTTTTGGTTTATTTTGAACCTGTTTAGATAATATAGAAGTGCCTGTTCCAAGAGGGACAGCATCTGGTGAAATTACAGTTGAATCAATGTAAGACACTGAGGAATCTGTATTCAAGGAGTACTTTGAGTTGGAAGATTCTAAATTCAGTCTGTTTAATTCCTGAAACAGAAAATTTATACTATATTACTTGTGATACATTATTTGGCTCAGATAATTCTTTTTAGTTTTCATAATAGTCTGAGCATTAGGTATGATACACTTACAATTGTGTCCTGGGGTGTTTCAGTAAGAACTGTCTCAGGCTGTCTATGAGATAAACTATGATTAGATACTAGTGTTGTACACGAGTTGGGTAGACAGTTGCTGAAGTTCTGAATAGATGTTAATTTAAATGTTTGATCAGGATCTGGTTTTTCACCTGTGAGGACCCAAAACAAACAACAATAATGTTTACATCTGAGGGATGAGCTTTATTTCAAGCATGAATAATTAAGTGCAAATAAGGCCTTATGTAAGGTTTTTAAATTCTCCTACCCGATTATGCTAATCAAAACTATTTCCTAAAAGCCTATCCAGTAACTTTTAATACAGTCAATTCCTATGATAAAAGATGTAAATTTGAGAAATTATATAGCAAGGACACTAGTTTTAAATATAATAAATCATAGGTAAAATGTTTGTTTTAAAATATGAAGCAACTCAATCGTATTTTTCCCAAGCGAGGTGGGTAAGGTTACAGGGTTAATAAGCAAATAATACAGTAAAGACTGAAGCACTTCTGTGTATGTACACATTTAAACTTGGTCCTGTATGTTGCCTAGGTCTTATTCATCTAACAGTTGCTATATGAGGCACACTATTACTTCTTTAGAAATCCTGTTAATTTCTTATTCATAAAGCATTTTTGCCTAATTGCATACATAATACATTTCATTCTAGGATATAAAGTAGATTCAATAAATGCAAGAGAACAGTGAAGTTAATCTTTGAGGTAGAGTAGTAAGAAGTCACATTATTCCTGAATCATGTTTTTAATTTTGGCAGCCTTTTGCTTTGCAAAATATTTTACTTGCAGAGAGATGATTGTGTGGGTCTCCAAAAATCAAGTGGAAAAAAAAAGAGAAAGAGATAAGAGAGAATTATCCCTCCCCAACCTCCATAAGCCTACCTATTTCACATAAGGATTCAAAGGGAGACCAGAGGAAAGGATTTAAACTAAGGCTCTTTTGGTAACATTCTGATCCTTTGGCAAGCCGATCTGTCTTGCTGTGGAGAGAAACAATAGATTAAATAAGCTATAAACCCCAAAACATTTCCTATAGCATTAACTTTTTGTGTAGAAAATTAGGTAATTTAAAAAATACGCTTTTTGATGCTTTCCTAAACTATCATTATCTCCCTTTTCCCATTGAGACAAAATGTCAAAATAGAGCCCAGGAGCTGGGCGTTGGTAGCCTTGGCTCATGCCTGTAATACTAGCTACTCAGGAGGCTGAGATCTGAGGATGGAGGTGCTAGCTCAGACAGGAGAGTCCATAAGACTCTTATCTCCAATTAACCACCAGAAAACTAGAAGTGGCACTATGGCTCAAAGTGGTACAGTACTAGCCTTGGGCTAAAAAGCTCAGGGACATACATATCGAGAGAGACAGAGAGAGAGAGAGAACGAGAGAGACCACGAGAGCGAGAGCTCCCAAGGTGGTCTCAAACTCTGAGATCTTCCTGCCTTAGCCTCCTCAGTAATTGGGATTACAGGTATGCCCAACCACGCCTAGCAGTCATTGTGTGTGTGTGTACATGCGTGTGTGCACATGCGCATGCATGCATACATGTAAGCACTAGTACTGGGCCTTGAATTCAGGGCCCGAGCACTGTCCCTGAGCTTCTTTTGCACAAGGCTAGCACTCTACCATTTGAGACACAGTACCACTTCTGTTTATGTGGTACTGAGGAATCAAACCTAACCTAGGGCTTCATGCATGCTAGACAAGCATTCTACCACTAAGCCACATTCCCAACTGTCCTTGAGTACTTTGCTTGGTCTCTTCCTTTTTTTTTTGTTGGTCATGGGGCTTGAGCTCTGGGCCTGGGCACTGTCCCTCAGCTCTTCAGCTCAAGGCTAGCGTTCTACCACTTGAGCCACAATGCCACTTCCGGTTTTCTGGTGGTTTATCATAGATTTTCCTGCCTGGGCTAGCCTTGAACCCTGTTCCTCAGATTTCAGCCACCTTAGTACCTAGGATTACAGGCATCAGCCACCGGTGCCTGGATACTTGGCTTTTATTTTTTTTGATCCGGTTGTTGGGCCCTGGGCACTGTCCCTCAGCTCTTCAGCTCAAGGCTAGTGCTCTACCACTTGAGGCACAGCGCCACTTCCGGCTTTTTTTTTTTTCCTGCTTATGTGGTGCTGAGGAATCAAACCCAGGGCCTCAGGTATACAAGGCAAGTGCTCTACCACTGAGCCACCTTCACAGCCCGAGGACTATTTCTTACTTTTTTTTCTTTCCTCTCCGGGCCAGACAGTATAGGACCAGGGAAGAATTCTAACTATAAATTAAAATTTCTTTAATTACCTCAGTATTATTTAGTACAGGTTACTAATGATCAGATTTGGTACTGTATAGTTTTTGAAGAATCATCCTACTTATAGAGTTCTGAGTTTTCAGCATACAGATCCATTTAATGTTTTTTGGGTAAGTAGTGATACTCCTTTTTGCATTCATGAAGTAATTCATGTCCTCATTGCAGTTTTTGGTCAGTTTTGGTGTTTTATTAATTTTACTGACCTTTTCAAAAGGACCAACTTGTGGTTTCAGTGATTTTTTTCACCACTATTTTCTACTTCCAGTTTCACTAAATTTTATTCTATCTTTCCTTTTTTGGTTAAGTTTATGTTGATTTTTTTGGGGGGGTAGGGGGGGTGAGTCATGAGGCTTGAACTCAGGTGCTATCCCTGCACTCTTTTGTTCTTCTGCTCTTGATCCACAGTACCACTTCCCGTTTCCTGGTGGCTAATTTGGAGATAAGAGTCTCAAGGACTTTCCTGCCTAGGCTGGCTTCAAACTGTGATCCTCAGATCTCAGCCTCCTGACTAGCTAGAATTGCAGGTGTGAGTCACCAGTGCTGGCTTGAATTTTTTATTTTAGTTTTTTTTGGGAGACATTTGCAAAGTGATGAGACTTGTTTGTGGTACTGGCTTTGAACCCATAGCCTAGAGCTTGCTAGGCTAACACTCTACCATATGAGCCATCCTTCTCCCACCCTTTTTGGCTTAGGTATTTTTCAATAGGGTCTCAAGTTTCTTTCTTCCTATTTTTCTTCTGTCTGTCTCCCTTTCTTCCTATTTTTTTTCTTTTTCTTTTCTTTTTTGCCAGTCCTGGGGCTTAAACTCAGGGCCTGGGCTTGAACTCAACTCCTGAGCTTTTTGTGCAAGGCTAGTACTCTGTTACTTGAGCCATAGTTCCACTTCTGGCAGTTTGGTGGTTAAATGAAGATGAGTCTTGCAGACTTTCCTGCCTGGGCTAGCTTTGAATTGTGATCCTCAGATTTCAGCCTCCAGAAAAGGAGGCATAAGCTACTGGTGCTCCACACCATTAGAAACCTTTGAGATCCTGAATTAAGAACTATGTATCTTTATATACTCTTAGTGCCAGATATTTACAATGTCAATAATGGGAATGGGATCTCAATGTTTCTTGAATGAATGGAAAAGTAGAATCAAAACTAAATTAAAAACACGCAGCCTCTTTTTTAGGTGTGGCTATTGATATCATTCCTTCTGTTCTCTAGAGGGGCATCAATGACTAGACTTACTTCTATTAGACCTGAAAATGGGTCCCCAAATTCAGCTGGTTCATTTGTTCTATATAAGATTTTTCAAGTCTGTTAATGTGTGTTGATATTAGGGTTTGAATTTAGGGCATCAGTTCTTTTTGCTGGCTCTTTTACTCAAAGCTGGCACTCTATTTGAGCCATACTACCCCTTCACATTTGGCCTTTTCCTGGTTAACTGGAGATGCAGAGTCTCATTGACTTTTCTGCCTGGGTTGGCTTCGAATCACAATCCTCAGATTTCAGTGTACTAAGTAAGCAGCTAGGATTATAGGCTAAGTTTTCCTGTTTTTTTGTATATTTTTTGGGGGGGTCGGTCATGGGGCCTGAGCTCTGGGCCTAGGCACTATCCCTCAGCTCTTCAGCTCAAGACTAGCACTCTACCACTTGAGCTACAGCGCCACTTCCAGCTTTTTTTCTGCTGATGTGTTGCTGAGGCATCGAACCTATGGCCTCATGCATGCAATGCAAGCACTCTACCACTGAGCCCCCTTCCCAGCCCACAGTTTTCCTGTTTTTTGAAAGAAATGAAACCACTACTAAAACTAGCCTCAATTTATTTTAAAATAAATAAACATGCTATCCTATTACTTATTACTTTAGACAAGTAGTCCTCAATTGCTTCTCATAATGTACAACAGATGAGAGCAGTTACGAACAATTCTTGTATTCTATGTCTCTACTTTGTACTCCCCAACTCCCAAAGTATGTCAGAGTACAAAACAATGTTATTACAGAGATAATTTTGCCGACTTTAAAAAGTTTTTAATTTTAATACTTGCAAAATGACTATTTCAACTATTATTGTAATTTCTAGTGACACACCTCAAAATCATGATATAGTAGATGACAACTATTTTTTTTCCCCTGGCATCTGGGCTTGACCTCAGGACTTCATACTAGCTCAGCATGCTTGCTCATTGCTGGTGCTCTACCACTTGAGTCATGCCTCCGGTTTGGCTTTTTGCTTGTTAATTGGAGATGGAGTCTCATGTACTTTTCTGCCCAGGCTGGCTTCAAATCATGATTCTCCAGGTCTTAGCCTCCTAAGTAGCAAGGATTATAGGCATGAGCCATTGGCACCCAGCTGAGAACTGTTAATTTTTTATTACTAAAACTTGTTTTCAAATCTCTTCCTAGGGAGTAGCAGTGACACTGTATTAGAGAAAACACTCTTCTCTGTCTTTCTCAGCAAGTCACATGACACTCTCTTTACTTAAGGTTAAAAAAAAAACAAAGAAAAAAACAAAACTAAAATTCTGTCCGCTCAATTGCTAATGCTGGTATAGCTATTTATCATCATGACAAAGTGAAAAATAAAAAAATGAGATCAACATTTCCACATTTAACAAGGTCATAGACTCAGGATTTTTTATTATGTGTAATATTTTATACATTTTAGCAAAGTTTATTTAACAACACAGAACAACATAGGGGTTTTCAATCACAAAATATTCTCATAAGGAAATTTTTTCTAGTAGTTTGAGTCATTCTTACTTACCAATATACATGTCCCAACAATGAAAGGGTAAAGCAAGCTGAATCACCAAACTCAGTAACAATATCATCATGGCTTTTCTGCTTATTAAACACTCCACCAGACAGGATCTGTTCCCCTTCTGCAAGCCTTTAAGATATTAATTTATAGATTTAACAAAATCAATATAACAACCATTCCAAGAGGACATCTTCATTATCAGCGTAGGTCTAACTTGAGAAACAGAAAAGCAAAAAGTAAATAGTAAACATGTACTTACAATCATTTGGGAAGCTGGAAATTTATAATATTAAATTTTAAGTTTGCTTTAAAAATACATTAAAATTTTGTTTCTGCTGGTACTGGGGTTTTGAACTCAGGGCCTCTTGGCTTAGCCAAGCAGGCACTCTTACCATAGAACTATGCCTCCAGCAAAATTTAGTTTCCAAAATAGAAAATCTAGTCTGAGCAGTATATTTATTTGTTTTTTTTTAAATTTATTTATTTAATTTTTTCTTTGGTCCAATCGTGGGGCCTGAACTCTGGGCCTGGGCGCTGTCCCTGAGCTCTTCAGCTCAAGGCTAGCACTCTACCACTTGAGCCACAGCGCCACTTCTGGCTTTTTTCCCCCTGCTTATGTGGTATTGAGGAATCGAACCCAGGGCCTCAAGCATGCAAGGCAAGCGCTCTACCACTGAGCCACTTTCCCAGACCTGAGCAGTATATTTATAGCTAATGTCAAAAGAAATAGACTATTATACCAAGAGAAAATATCAATGGTTAATATTCCTATTTTCCATATTCATATTCACTATACTGATATGGTGGCCCTTACAGAATTCCCTAAATTAGGTATAAGGAAATTAAACAAGATTAATATATTTCAATTAAAATTTGCATACTAATGGCCTGTCAGTTTTAGTTTTATGAATGAAGCTTTATTACCAAGATTCTTTCAATATTTTCAAACATGCAATCAAATGTTCCCAAAATGAAAAAAAATCACCTCATTTCATTCATATTTTTAGTCAATTAGGGTCTATAATGATTTGTTTTATAAAGTTCATTTTCTTTTGCATTACTCAGGGCTTTGTTCTTGCTAGGCAGGTACTCTACCACTGAGCCATGTTTCCAGTTGAAGTTTTTTTTTGTCGGTTGTGGGGCTTGAACTTGGTCTTCATGCTTGCTGTCCCTGAGCTCTTCAGCTCAAGGCAAACACTTTACAACTTGAGCCACAGTGTCACTTCCGGTTTTCTGGTGGTTAACTGGAGATAAGAGTCTCATGGACTTTGTTGCCTGGGCTGGCTTTGAACTGTGATCCTCAGATCTCAGCCTCCTGAGTAGCTAGGTGTAAGCCACTGATGCCTGGCTCCAGCTAAAGTTTTGATTAAAGAAAGTATCATCATATAGAAAACTCTTGAATTTTACACAGCATATTGTAAAGACAATTGTATGTGTCTTCTCACCGTCACTGAATTTTTTTTTTTGGGGGGGGGTGTGGTTGGGCCCATCTGGGCCTGGGTGCTGTCCCTCAGCTCTTCAGCTCAAGGCTAGCACTCTACCACTGAGTCAACTTCCCAGCCTCATCACTAGAACTTTTTAATTATTCATCCTCAAGTTAAAACATCTCATATATAACTATAAATTGGATAAGAATATTATCCGGCAAATTAAGAAAGCATGGCTGGGTGCAGTAGTCCATGCCCTTAATCCTAGCTACTCAAAAGAGGCTGATAAGGGTTGGAGGCATGACTCAGGTGGTAGAGCACCAGCTAATAAATGAAAGCATTAGATACCAAGGATTCCTGTCCTAGAACAACAACAACAAAAGGCTGAGATCTTAGGATCTCAGTTCAAAGCTGGCCCAAGTAAAAAAAATCCACAATACTTATCTAATTAACCGGGAAAAACTGATGGTAGTGGTGTGGTAGAGCATTAATCTTAATGAAAAAAAAAAAGCAGAACTCTAAGCCCTGAGTTCAAGACCTAGTACAAGTACCAAAAAAAGAAAAAGAAGAAAAATAGAAAAAGAAAGTAGATGTATCTCAAAAAATGTACATATATTTTGGCTAGTCTTAATTAAAAGGTCACCCAAATTAAAAAGTCACCATTCACTGGACTAACATAGTATAAGATTTTCTAAGACCTATTTACATTCTCCATATGTAAACCTACAAACAAAATAAGACACATAGGTTTTTACAAATATTTGTTCATTTTTACCACTATTCCATCTTTGACAGCACAGAAAAAAAGTTTAACAGAACATCTCCAACTGCCTCCAAATTTGGAATAAGGACAGCAATTTCATTTAACTGTAGTAAGGAAAAGAAGTACTCTCCTGACTGTCCTCTTGCTTCAAAGGGGTTAAGGTAGGCAGTAGTTCCCAAATAAAATGATCTCAAAAAGAGGTTTAGGGCTGGGAAGGTGGCTCAGTGGTAGAGTGCTTGCCTTGCATGCATTGAGACCCTGGGTTCGATTCCTCAGCATCACATGAGCAGAAAAAGCCAGAAGTGGCGCTGTGGCTCAAGTGGTAGAGTGTTAGTTTTGAGCTGAAGAGCTCAGGGACAGTGCCCAGGCCCAGAGTTCAGGCCTCATGACTGACAAAAAAAAAAAAAAAGAGTTAGTTATAACTTCAGCTTCTCCAGAATTAAATTCTGGTTTTTGTTTTTATTTATTTATTTTTGGATTGGTCATAGGGCTTGAACACAGAGCTTGGCTGTTTTCCTGAGATTCGTTTTTTTTGCTAAAGGCTACTCTCTACTACTTTGAGCACAGAGCCACTCCTGGTTTTCTGGTGGCTAACTGGAGTTAAGAGTCTTATGGACTTTCCTGCCTGGGCTGGCTTTGAACTTGATCCTCAGATCTCAGCTTCCTGAGTAGGTAGGGCCCAGCTTGTTTTTTTGTTTTTGTTGTTGGTAGTGGGGCCTCATGCATGTTAGGCAAGCACTCTACCACTAAGCCACATCCCCAGCCCCTGTTGTTGTTGTTGTAATCACCACATTTCTCAATTAACTGAAATAATGCCACAGCCAAGAGTACAGACATTTCAAATTTACCAGAGTTCAGGCCCCACGACTGACAAAAAGAAAGAAAGAAAGAAAGAAAGAAAGAAAGAAAGAAAGAAAGAAAGAAAGAAAGAAAGAAAGAAAGAAAGGAAGAAAGGAAGGAAGAAAGGAAGGAAGAAAGGAAGGAAGAAAGGAAGGAAGAAAGAAAGAAAGTTCTATCCACAAATTCTACAGTTTTAAGTAGAACAAAGTAGCTGAAGATTTAAGAACTTACTTGCTGAGGTCAACACAACACTTTGCAAGCAGGTATTTACATTGTGGTGTGGTACAACTATGTCCTTTTAAGAGTCTGTATGCTTTATATGCCTTTCCTGAGCGGTAATAACAGGTTGCCAGCAAAAACAAGGCTTCTTCTGAGTGCACTAAGAAAAGATATTAAAAAAAGAAAAAACGAAGGAATTGGCAAATTGTTCAGCATATTGAATAGTATAGTTTATCTGTTAATTAACAAGTTTAGCAACAAAATATGAGATGTATTATTTATTCCAAAATATTAATTCAGATTTCAATTATAAGAAAACATTATTTTTCCACAGGAACCAAGAAAATAATATAATAAAGACAATCATAGTACACTTTGCAAATCTTTTTAAAAACACATACAATCAGCAACAATGAGATGTACAAGTCGTTATGTCGAAAAAAACGAAGTTAACAACTTTGGTGGGGGGTAGGAGGAGAATTGGGTGGGGGAAGGGGAGGAGTATGAGAAGGGATGGGAAGGGGAAACAACAAGGAGGCAACAATGCTTGATGAGAAATGTACTTGTGGGGCCGGGAAGGTGGCTCAGTGGTAGAGCGCTTGCCTTGCATGCCTGAGGCCCTGGGTTTGATTCCCCAGCACCACAGAAGCAAAAAGACAAAAGCCGGAAGTGGCACTATCGCTCAAGTGGTAGAGCGCTAGCCTTGAGTTGAAGAGCTGAGGGACAGTGCCCAGGCCCAGAGTTCAGGCCCCACGACCGGACCCCCCCCCCCAAAAAAAAAGAAATGTACTTGTTATCTTGCCCATGTAATTGTAACTCCTCTGTACGGTATTCTCACACACACACACACAAACATACACATACAATCCTGTTATTTAAACAGACTACCATAAAATATTTTGATTTTGGGTAGTATCTGTCCAGTATACCATTAGGCTAGAAAGAAGTCAGTTTTATTAGAGTAAAACTGAAAGTAAATAAAATCTCATTATTAATCTGAAATTTCTACATTAAGAGACCAGATGTTTAAAAAGTTGTTTCTAATACCAACTATCCACTAAATTACAATTAAGATAACTTTAATGAAAAAAAAATTCTAAACTGTGAATGCCCTCATGATATTAACAATTCAACTGATAGACTTTATTCCAACACAGGTTAAACTGCGTTCCAAGGTCAAAAGCTGAGTTATTCATCAATTTGTACCTTACTCCTCCTTTTTTCTGTGTGCCAGTACCAGGACTTGAATTTATGATGTTGTGCCCTTGCTTAGCTTTTTTGCTAAGTGGCGATCTGCCACTTGAACAGTATTTCCATTTCCATCTTTTTTGTTAGTTAAATGGAGATAACAATTTCTTAGATTTATCTGGTTGGGCTAGAAATCTTGCTATCAATACTATGGAAAATTTTAATCATCTAAATTTAAATATGTAATTTATAATCTTTAGGTGTCTAAGTATAATAAAATAGAAACTACCCTTCGCCTACCTCTTTCTTCTTTCCTTTCTGCTATGGGTCGAACCTAGGGCCTCATGCATTTTAGGCAAATGTTCTATCACTGAGCCATAGTCCCAGTCCTGCCTATTCATTAATAAATTTGACATAAAAAATAAAAAATATAAGACAGCAAAATATGAGATTGCTTGAGAATCAATGAAATATGTTTAGATTATGCTAACCTTGTTTTTGTAATTATTTATATCAATATTTCAGAAGAATTATAATTTAATGACAGGAACAGAACATATATTATCAATGTTTCTTGAGGATTCATTATCATGCCAAATGGCTGTGTCAAGTGCTTTGAAAACACTGTCTCATTTAATTTTCCAATTTGATGAGGCAGTTACCATTTTAAACATTTACGGATAAACATTTATATTTAAAATTAGAAATGTTAGTAGAGAAAGGCTTCACATTCCATGAAATAGTTCCTTAGGGAAAGTTGATATAATAAAAACTTAAAGTAATTGCCAGGCACCCGGTAGCACATGCCTGTAATCCTAGCTACTCAGGTGGCAGAGATCTGAGGATTATGGTTCAAAGCCAGCATAGGCAGGAAAGTCTTTGAGACTTTTATCTCCAATAAACCACTCAGAAAACTGGAGTGGCACAGTGACTCAAGTGGTAGAGTGCTAACCTTGAGCTGAAGAGCTGAGGGACAGCTCCCAAGCTGAGTTCAAGCCCCATGACCAACCAAAAAAAAAATAATAATGCAAACCAAAACAAGTCAGAAAGGATATTGGAATCAAAAGTCAACATATGACTGAACAACTTTAAAAGGGCTTAAAGTTAATTGTTTACATGGAGTATTTCTTACTAATTCAAATATTTCATAAGTAATGTCTTGCTGCAATAAAAGGTAATAATAGAGCTACTTTTCTCAGGTCATATTCATTTTTGTATATGAACTAAAGTTTTTGAAATCTTTTTTACTGCCCAAAATCCCATTAAAGAATCAAGAAATCAACTTTTATGTTTAGAAGGCTATCTTGCTCTTTCCACATTAAAAGAAAAAAAAGAGCCAGGTGCATTTACATCTGTAATCCTAGATACTCAAGAAGCTTACATCTGAGGATTGCAGTTTGAGCTGGGGAGGGAAGTCTATGAGACTCTTATCGCCAATTAACCATCAAAAAAGCTGAAAGTGGAACTGTAGCTCAAAATGGTAGAGTGCTAGCCTTGAGCAGAAAAACTCACATTGCTTAGGTCCTGAATTCAATAACCAGGACTGGCAAAAAAAAAAAAAGTATTCAATTTCCTTTTTTTCCCCTCTGTTTGGTTCTTGTCTCAAACACAAATTTATTTGTAAGTTGTTGTTTAAATGTTAAAATATTGGCATTTGTGTTGGTCATTTTGCCTTTAGTTTTTTGATAATTTTTTCAACAACTTTCTTAGAGACATAAGCAACATCACCACTACTTCCCCACTTTCCTTTCCTTTATTTGTTTTATTTTGGTGCCCGTCCTGGGGCTTTGCCCGTCCTGGGGCTTGAATCTCAGGGCCTGGATACTGTCCCTGAACTTCTTTTTGCTCAAGGCTAGCACTCACCACTTGAGTCACAGTGTCACTTCCAGCTTTTTCTGTTTATGTGGTACTGAGGAATCAAACCCCAGGCTTCATGCATGCTAAGCAAGCACTCTACCACCACTAAACCACATTCCTAGTCCCTGAATATATTCTTAATTAGATAGTGTCTCCTGAAAAATATTTCAAACTACACAGTTCAATTAATATGAAATGCATACACATTTATTCACAAAAGAATACTTCACATTCTGGGATGAATGGATGTATCTTCAAAAGTTTGAAGATAAATTTTATATTTGAAATTTTTGAAAATGAATAATCAGGGTAGAAAGGTGACACAGTGGTAGAGTGCTTGCCTTGCATGCATGAGGCCCTGGGTTTGATTCCTCAGGACCACATAAACAGAAAAAGCCAGAAGTGGTGCTGTGGCTCAAGTGGTAGAGCACTAGCCTTGCGCTGAAGAGCTCAGGGACAGCACCTAGGCCCAGAGTTCAAGCCCCTCAACTGACCAAAAAAAAAATAACAATAATAATTAAAAAATGAATAATCAAAATAAATCAAACAAGAAGCAGATAAAAAAATGTTTCAGGGGTTGGGAAGGTGGCTCAGTGGTAAAGCGCTTGCCTTGCATGCCTGAGGCCCTCAGCACCACATAAGCAAAAAGAAAAAAGCTGGAAGTGGCGCTGTGGCTCAAGTGGTAGAGCACTAGCCTTGAGCTGAAGAGCTCAGGGACAGCACCTAGGCCTAGAGTTCAAGCCCCTCAACTGATCAACTAAAATAACATTATTAATTAAAAAATGAATAATCAAAATAAATCAAACAAGAAGCAGATAAAAAAATGTTTCAGGGGTTGGGAAGGTGGCTCAGTGGTAAAGCGCTTGCCTTGCATGCCTGAGGCCTCAGCACCACATAAGCAAAAAGAAAAAAGCCGGAAGTGGCGCTGTGACTCAAGTGGTAGAGCCCTAGCCTTGAGCTGAAGAGCTGAGGGACAGTGCCCAGGCCCAGAGTTCAGGCCCCACGACTGGACCAAAAAAAAAAGTTTCAGGGGCTGGGGAGGTGGCTCAGTGGTAGAGCGCTTGCCTTGCATGCCTGAGGCCCAGGGTTCGATTCCTCAGTACCACATAAGCAAAAAGAAAAAAGCCAGAAGTGGCGCTGTGGCTCAAGTGGTAGAGGGCTAGCCTTGAGCTGAAGAGCTGAGGGACAGTGCCCAGGCCCAGAGTTCAAGCCCCACCACCAGACCCCCCCCCCCAAAAAAAAGGTTTCAAATGCCTAAATTTTTGTCAACTAGTTGGCTGTAAAGAAAAATAACCTAACATTCTAATCATGGATCAATATAATCAAATTTAGTAACTCAAGAGAAAAGCCTACCAACTGCTAGCCCATAGCTGTTTGCGAAATTTTATCTGAAAGAATATTTTAGGTAAGAGCGCTAATTGTTTACATATTTCAACAGAGATGATCAAAATCATTTCCCACAACAAAGTATACAATACTTCAAATTTCTTTACTGAAGGGATAATTTCCAAAATTACAAATCCTTTATTTTTATTTATTTTTTTGTGGGGTTGTAGGGCCTGAACTCTGGGCCTAGGCCCCAGAGTTCAATCAAAAGAAAAGTTTGAACTTTTGGTTGGAGAATTTGAAAGGATATTTAATTGTATTTATAATTTTCCAACTATTCTGACATGTGTCACCACAATTTTGATAAATAGCCTAATTAATCAAAATTTCTGGTTTGCTTTTTGTTTTTGCTGGTTGTGGGGCCTGAACTCTGGGTCTGGGCGCTGTCCCTAAGCTCTTCAGCTCAAGGCTAGCGCTCTACCACTTGAGCCACAGTGCCACTTCCAACCTTTTCTGCTTATGTGGTGCTGAGGAATCGAACCCAGGCCCTCACGCATGCAAGGCAAGCACTCTACCACTGAGCCACCTTCCCAGCCCCCTTTATAATTCTTTCGAAGTCTTTTCTGAGCAAATTTGTCTTCTTGGCATATTGCTTTAAGCAGAATAAATTCATGTGCATATGACCTCATGAATTGTTAACCTTAATCTATGAGGTAATTATTATCTTTATTTTTTAAATGAGAAATGTGAAATGCTCAGACATTAAATAATTTGCCTGACTATACAAGTATCTGTTTAAGTTACAGGAATAAGATTAAGATTTTTATTATGGGGGCTGGGAAGGTGGCTCAGTGGTAGAGTACTTGCCTTGCATGCCTGAGGCTCTGGGTTCCATTCCTCAGCACCACATAAGCAAAAAGAAAAAAGCCGAAAGTGGCGCTGTGGCTCAAGCTGTGGCTCAAGTGGTAGAGCGTTAATCTTACACTGAAGAGCTGAGGGACAGTGCACAGGCCCAGAGTTCAGGCCCCATGACCGGACCCCCCCCCAAAAAAAAAGATTTTCATTATGGATTAAGCTTTCTAACTCCAGATTCCAAACATACTCAGCCACAGAATATGGAGTCTATTCTTTAAAAAAAAAAAAATCCAACCATAAACTGGCACTAGTAGCTCATATCTATAATCCTATATACTTAGGAGGCTGAGATCTGAGGATTACAGTTCAAAGCCAGCCTGGTCAGGAAAGCCTATAAGACTCTTATCTCCAATTAACTACCTAAAAAGCCAAAAATGGAGCTGTAGCTTAAATGGTAAAGCACTGGTCTTAACAAAACAGAAAGACAAGCTAGGCACTGGTGACTCATGTAATCCTAGCTACTCAGGAGGCTGAGATCTGAGGATTGTGGTTCAAAGCCAGCCTAGGCAGGGAAGTCTATAAGACTCTTACTCTAATTAACCACCAGAAAACCAGAAGTGGTGCTGTGGCTCAAGTGGTAAAATGCTTACCTTGAGCTGAAGAGCTCAGGGACAGCACCCAGGCCCAGAGTTCAAGCCCCACGCCCCCCTCCCCCCAAAAGCCAAGCTTAGGAAAAAACTAAAAATTAGGATATGGTTGATTCTATAAACTTGAATCAACACTATCATCTTTACATGAAAGGAGCCAGATAGATGCAAACTAAAGTTTTAATGACTAGTATAATACAGTAAAACCAAAAAAAAAAAAATCCTACAATAATACCAAGAATCTTGTTAGTCATAAAAAGTGATGGAATTCCATGCCTTTTACTCATTTGTGGTTATATATGAATGAACATATTACAGACCTTCTGCATACAGTCGTTCTGCGAGAAAAACTGCATCTCGGTAAGCATAGTGGTTTAGTGCTTGCCATATAGCAGCCTGTAAATGGAGAAAAAAAGTAACTATAAGTACATACAGAAGTAACTACTAGTAAGGAGACTACTCAAATTAGTATCCCTAATTTAAATAAAACCCCAACGCACACAGAGCCAAATTCTTCAGTGTGTTGGATAAAGCTCTTCAGAGCCTGGTCCCTAATATATCTGCTTTTATTCCTCAGACTTTAGGCTTCTGAACCTTTGTACATATATTTATTTCATCAGGGAATGAATATTGGCTCCCTTAGCACCTTCCCCTAACAAAGTGCTCATCCCAAAAGATCTAGCTTAAGTAATAATGCTTTTCTAAGCTTATCTCTAGCCATTTATTTTTTTCTTTTTAAAAAGCCAAATATATTTTTAAAAATTCATATTTACATTACAGTCTGCCCACTAAGTTGCACTGATTCTCAGCTACTTTTCATGATACATTTGAAAGACATTCAAATTTATGTTACCCTCCTATTAAAAATACTCCCAACTTAAACACCACCCAATTCTTAGCCTCTCAAAGGACATACTAGAATATAGATGAGTAAGGACTAATGAATATAGATGAGTAGGACTAATCTTTTTTCCTTTTTTTGACAGTCCTGGTACTTGAACTCAGGGCCTAGGCACTGTCCCTGAGCATTTAAAAGTGCTCAAGGCTAGTGCTCTACCACTTGAGCCATAGTTTCCCTTCTGGTTTTTTGTTAGTTAATTGGAGATAAGAGTCTCATGGGCTTTCCTGCTGGAGCTGGCTTGGAACCATGATCCTCAGATCTCAGTCTCCCGAGAAGCTAGGATTACAGGCATGAGGCAATGATGCCCAGCTTGTATGACTACTAATCTTTAAATTTACTTGGATTATGTGGACTTTTTCTCCCAATCTTGGGTCTTAAACTCAGGACCTGAGTGCTGTCCCTGAGCTTTTTTTGCTCAAGGCTAGCACTCTACCACTTCAGCCACTTGAACCACAGCTCCACTTCCAGCTTTTATGGTAGTTTATTAGAAATAAGAGTCTTGCTGGGCGCCAGTGGCTCCCCTTGAGCTTAAGCGCTCAGGGACAGCATCCAGGCCCAGAGTTCAAACCCCACGACCGACTCCCCCCACACCCCCCAAAAAAGAAAGAAGAGTCTTATGGACGTCCCTGCCAAGGCTGGCTTTGAGCCATGACCACTGCTTTCAGCCTCCTGAGAACTAGGATTAAAGGTGAGAGGCACCAGTGCCTAGATTTGTTGTTGTTGGTGGTGGTGGTCATGGGGCTTGAACTCTGGGCCTGGGCACTGTCCCTCAGCTCTTCAGCTCAAGACAAGTGCTCTACCACTTGAGCCACAGGCCTCTTCCAGTTTTCTGAGTGGTTTACTGGAGCTAAGAGTTTCATGGACTTTCCTGCCCAGGCTGGCTTTGAATCAAGATCCTCCTTGGATCTCAGCCTTTTGAGTAGTTAGGATTACAGGCGTGAGCCAGCTCCTGGCTAGCTATTTCCCATGTACTAATCATCTAACTCAAGAAGCAAAATATTGCTGTCTTCAAAAGTCCCTATGGGTTTCTTTAACATATTAATGTTACCTCTTACTGCCCTAAAAAAGAAACAACTTCTCTAAATTTTGATTTTTGTTTTCTTCATAATTTGATGTACATATCATACCTATGCAACATAACATTTAGTTTTCCTTATCTAATTTTAAATAAATACAATCCCATTGAATACTTTCTGCTGTGACTTGCTTTTGAAAACCAGTCTTGGGCTAGGAATGTGGCTTAGTGGTAGCATGCATGAAGCCCTGGGTTCGATTCCTCAGTACCACATAAGCAGAAAAATCCAGAAGTGGTGCTGTGGTTCAAGCACTTGTCTTGAGCTGAAGAGTTTAGAGACAGCACCCAGGCCCAAAGTTTAAGCCCCATGACTATTTAAAAAACAAAAAATCCCCTACCCCCCCAAAACAATAAGATGTTGTACCATGCTAGAGATGCAGCTCAGTGATAGAGGCTTGACTTAGTATGTACATGGCCCCAGGGTTCAATCTGTATCACTAAACAAAATAGCTTGCTAATTATTATTAAAATATGTAAATTTATGGATAGTTTCCTCTGCATATTAGGGGTAAATCCTCTTGTCACTGAGCTACATACTATCAGGGAGTGATAAACTACCTACCTTTAGATATCATGATATAATGGTACAATTAAAAAAAATTTTTTTTGCCAGTCCTGGGGCTTGAACTCAGGGCCTGGGCACTGTCCCTGAGCTTCTTTTGCTCATGGCTAGCACTCTACCACTTGAGCCACAGCCCCACTTTCAGTTTTTTCTGTTTATGTGGTACTGAGGAATTGAACCCAGGGTTTCATGCATGCTAGGCAAGCACTCTACCACTAGGCCATATTCCCAGCCCCAATATTGATAGAAATTTTTTACACTTTTCACCTTATAATTTGTGGAATGAAGTTGGAAGCTGGTGGCTTACTCCTGTAATCTTACTCAGGAGGCTGAGATCTGAGGATCACAGATCAAAGCCAGCTTGGTTAGGAAAGTCTGTGACACTCGTATCTCCAATTAATCACAGAAAAAGCTGGAAGTGGTAGGGTGCCTTGGGCAAAAAGAGCTCAGGGATAGCATTCAGGCCTAGAGATGGGAGGGTCGGGAGGGGATAGAAATGGAGAATTATGGAATGATGTGACAAATAATGAGTTATAATGAGGCAAATAAAAAAATCCAATTACTTATCATTAACCAACACTATGACAGTATATGTAGATTACATTAAAGAGATAGTGGTACAGGCCTTGCTTAGCATGCATGAGGCCTTGGGCTCAAACCTACAGCACCATATACAGCATAAATACCACATAGGACACACACGGAAACAACAAATGAATCAATCAATCAATAATCAAGTTCCAAAACCTCTGTAGGTTCACATGTATCATCTTGGTCATAACCAAGTTTTACACATCCATGGGAATTAATTAGAAATACCGTCTCCTGCCACAATTTACTCAAATTAGGTAGCTAAGAAGAAATCTTCTTTTAGTTTAAAATTTAACTATCAATTTCACTTCCCCCCAGTATATTCAGAAGTAGTTAGCATGTTCTATAACATGATTCCAACAGTGTCCATAAAAACACAAGGCACTTTTTAGGGTATTCTAAATAACAGAAATTCTATAATTTCTAAATAGTTAAGGAAGTTAATTTGTTATACAAAGGCTGATTTATCCCAACAGCCCCAATGATATAATTTCCAGAAGACAAAAGGGTCCATAAAATTCTATTTTTTTTTCTTATTTTAGTTCTCTTCCAGCAGTACAATGTGCTTGTTTTAGAATTCCTCCACACAAATTAACCTCATAATGCGTTCACTATCACTAAAGGGACTCATCCTCAGTAATCAGTGGGTCCTTTTTATTATTTAGGAAATAAAGATGTGACAAGAAAAAAAACCAAAAACAACACTAAGACATTAAATATAAATAGGACCAGTTAGGAAGACTTGCTGGATTACTACAAGATTCTTCCTCAACTAAAGACACTTAAATAAAACAATATACCAAATATAAGCTGTGCAGAAACAGCCAAAAAACACATACAATGTCTTACTATATTTGTTTCTGCTAACTCTTCCACGTATCATTAGTCAAGGATTCTACCCTCACTTTTGGATAGCATTTGCCTATAAAACATACTAACAACACATTTCACTAAGAGTACAAAGATATATACTACAATTGCATGAAAGAATTTTTTTGATATTTGATTGAATCTAGTATGTCTTTTTTTTGGGGGGGAGGTCTGGTTGTTGGGCCTGAACACTGGGCCTGGGCGCTGTCCCTCAGCTTTTCAGCTCAAGGCTAGCGCTCTACCACTTGAGCCACAGCACCACTTCTGGCTTTTTTTTTTCTTTTTGCTTATGTGGTGCTGAGGAATTGAACCCAGGGCCTCATGCATGCAAGGCAAGTGCTCTACCACTGAGCCACCTTCCCAGCCCCGATTCTAGTATGTCTTTCCATGAATAATAATAAGCCAACAGGAAACAGAGGAGTGTTTGTTCTTTGATGTGTTTTTCTTTCTCCTTCCCCAACTCTTACAAACTTTTCTGTCTTGGAGGGCTCTAGTTCTCATTCATTCAATGTTTTCTGAGTGGCTACTATATGTCAGACACTTTCTAGACTGAAGATGTACAGAATGAGTTTCTGTTCTCAAAGACTAACTTTAAGTGGTTTTCCTGTCTAGGTCAGTGGACTCTCAACCCTGTGCTTATAATGCTCTATTCAAAATCCACTAAAACGCAATCCCTGCAAGCTGGGATTGAATTTAGGCATCAATATTTTAAACTTTTCCAAGTGGTAATAATCATTCAGGTTTTTTTTTTTCTTTCTTTCTTTTTTTTTGTTGGTCATAGGGCCTGGGTGCTGACCCTCAGCTATTCAGCTCAAGGGTAGTGTTGTACCACTTAAGCCACAGCACCACTTCTAGTTTTCTGGTGGTTTACTGGAGATAGGAGTCTCATGGTGCCGGTGGCTCACACCTATAATCCTAGAGGATCTCGGTTCAAAGCCAGCCTGGGCAAGGAAGTCAGTGAGACTCTAATCTCCAATAGACCACTAAAAACCGGAAGTGGCGCTGTAGTTCAAGTGGTAGAGTGCCTTGAGCTGAAGAGTGCAGAGACAGCGCCCAAGCCCAGAGTTCAAGCCCCACAACCGACAAAAAAGAGTGTCATGGACTTTCCTGCCTGGGCTGGCTTTGAACAGTGATCCTCAGATCTCAGCCTCCTGAGTAGCTAGGATTATAGGCATACGCCACTAGCGCCTGGATTCATTCATGTTTTCTAGGTAAGTAGTTCTTGGGTTTTCTTTTTTTTTTTGCCAGTCCTGGGGCTTTGAACTTAGGCACTGTTCCTGAGCCTCTCTGTGCTCAAGGCTAGTGTTGTACCACTTGAGCCATAGCGCCACTTCCAGCTTTTTCTGTTTATGTGGTACTGAGTAATAGAACCCAGGGCTTCATGCATTCGAGGTAAG